ACACGACATTTAATAAACCTGCTAACCTTTCAATGTCGGATTCTCCTTTGCCCGCGACAGAGGTCAGTCTGGGGAGGAGACAGAGAACAGCTTTAAGCCCAGTGGTGGTACAAGGCCTCATGGTTCCGGTTCACTTCCAAGCATTAAATCAGGGATCCTGAAATGCACTTGATACCGAATAACGCATCAGTGTGACTTTGAGACGCACCTGATGCCGTATTACGGGTCAGTGTGACTCTGAGTTGTATCTGATGCGGTATTACGCATAAGTGTGACTCTGAGTTGCACCCGACTTGGTATTACGGATCAGTGCGACTCTGAGTTGCATCTGATGCGGTATTACGGATCAGTGTGACTCTGAGACGCACCTGATGCGGTATTACGGATCAGTGTGACTGAGCTGCACCTGACGCGGTATTACGCATCAGTGTGACTCTGAGGACGACCTGATGCGGTATTACGCATCAGTGTGACTCTGAGTTGCATCTGACGCGGTATTACGGATCAGTGTGACTGAGCTACACGTAATGCGGTATTACGGATCAGTGTGACTGAGCTGCACCTGACGCGGTATTACGGATCAGTGTGACTCTGAGACGCACCTGATGCGGTATTACGGATCAGTGTGCCTCTGAGACGCACCCTTATATGGTATTATGAGTGACAAATGGCCGTGTCACGGCTCGCAGCACACATCTCTGCGTACTGAGCTTCCGCGTACTGCAATCGTTTGAAATTTCACACTCGTTGCCCTTACGACTGCGTTCATGGAAACTCACAGTAAGCTGCAATGAACAGTGATCCCAACCTCTTGTGATAGTCTCATACGATGGCTGGATCCACACACGGAATCACCAGGAGTTTGCGGTGGCGTGTTCCAGGCTCACAACATGCACACGTTGCCCACCTTTCTTCAATGCGTGTTAGTTTTTCCTCTGTCTGGTTTGACTTCCGCTCCTTCTCCTTGAGTAGGAAGGAGGCGATGCATTCCTTCTCGAACACCACCAGGTTGGAGAGATGACCTTCCATGTACGCCCGCACTGGAGGCCCGCACCGAACATGTTACTCACTGATAGGTAATACGCCCGCACTGGAAGCTCGCACCGAACATGTCACCTACTGCTTGGCACGAGTACATGAACTGCCCCGCTTGTACAGCGCATAGAAAAGGCGGGAAATGTCCGGATTCTACCTCTAGTAGCCAAAATAGTCCTTGGCGCCTGCCTCTAGCCTTGAGCGCAGTAGCTTGCCGGCTTCTAGCCTTCAGCGCTGCATGGCTTGCTTATCAGACAGTTGTTTCTGGGGGAGGGGATGGGGAGGAACCGGACGGGCGGCCTACTCTGAAACATGCGACAAGCTTACCTGAGACCATTCTTAAGGCGCGCTCGCGTGGGGGGTGAAATTGACCCCCACGCGAAGCGAAATTGAAGATTTTCCGGAATGGTTTCCGAACGGCGCGGCGTAGCTGCGCCAAATTTTGCATGGCTGTAGACAATAAAATAGCGGATCGTCTGATATCAAAAATTGACATGTAACTTGTCAGGTCGCTGACCCATGGTAGGTCAAAGTCGGGCTATGGTTTCAACGAAGGCAATTTCTAGGGAATCATTCAATATGATCCAACAACGGAGCGTTAGACGAAACCATAAATCTCTGAGATACTTTCTTAGGCAACACAACAGTGAAATGAAAAAAAATTGTTGACTTAAGTTGTTGACTTAATTGTTGATGTTGACTTAAGATCAGGTATGAAGGTCAGACCAAGGTCAAAACCAACCTGTTTTATTTCTCTGGCGCTTGCTG